TGCAGACTTCTTTATTTCCCTAGGAGTCTCAGAAAATTGGTTTTTTTGGTTTTTTTGGTCCTCTGCAGACTTCTCTATTTTCTTGAGTGTTGTTTTCTCCTTGGGAGAAATGCACTTATCAACGCATCTGGAACTCCTGACAGGTCATCCTCTTATCTGCTGCATTCTGAACCTCTACATCTCATCTCCTTGGAACGTCAGAATTGAATATGCAACTTCTGAGCAATGTTTCACAAAAGATCTTCATTTGCTGGCTTCTGTCATTGAAGGTATTTTTCATGCATGTCCCTGCAGTAGTTGATGTCACTTCCATGTCATTTGATTCTTCCACTGCTAGATTTTGCTCTCAAATCTGATTTGCTCTCATCCGCTTCCTGACGTCTTCTTTGTGCTCATTGTCACCTACCATGGCACTTCAGCTCTTTGCAGGAGCTCTCATTGATTGGGTGCGAGAAAGACATTGTCATTGGAGATGAAATCTCAGAGGCTGCGCTCCGCAAGTATGATGACTATGTGCACAAGGTTGCTTTCCCACCCAAAAAGAGGGCATCAGTGACTGAACTTGTCGGAGATGGTCACTCGAAGGTCCACATCAAATGTGGCGAAACTACCACACATGCAGGACGACCTCGGAAAGACGGTTCTTTGAAACCCTTTGGGCATGGATGGTTCATGCTAGTCAACCCGCAGGATCAACGAATTCTTTGTGTGGTTGCCATGGACAAGCCGGAGAACAACCCAGTGGTCCAGAAGTCGTTGGAGAAAGTCTTGCCTCTGTACCAGAAAGTCAATGGATTCATCATGGACCGTGTCTGTGGTTTCGCACCGACTCATGCAAGTAAGAAGTCCCTCTCCCAAATCAAATATTGGAGCCTTGACAAGTTCCACGCCCACAGGCACAAGAAGACTTGCGTGTACAATCCACTCTACGTCAAGCGTTTGTCTCGGCGATTTGCGAAGACAAATACGTCGGCTTGCGAACAAGTTTTCTCTTGGTTTCGCAATTATGCACGGATTTTGAATGAGGCACGTGCAATTCGCCACACTTTTAAGGTGCTGTACTTTTCCAAATTGCACAACCAAGCTGTGGCTGAAAACAAGGCCAGCTACTTGAACAAGTTCAAGAAAGCTGTGTCTAAGGTAAGCAAAGCATATGCTTGCTAGAACTAGATTTTGGAACAGAACTAGCGCGGAAAAATGAGATGTCTTAGCGCCAACTCCTTGCTTGCATTGTCTGCAGCAGATGATTTGACTGTGGTAGTATCCTTATGCATTCTTCCAAAAATCATCTTCTTTACTGTCATGCTGGCTCTGACAAAAGAAAGTAGAAACACATCTTGCAACTGCATCATCTGCTTCCAATCATCTGGAAATGCCTCACATCTGTACATTAACAAACAATAAGCTAGAAATCATTAAAAAACCTATGAATTAAAAACCCACCCCCCAGCGCAATCCGCTCTCTATAAATATTACATATACGATATGTGTTATAATATATATGTTTTTTGTGTGTGGAATCCATGAGAGATTGTTTTTTCTTCCATCCTAGTGTTGAAGTTGGACGGATAATATTTTACTTTGTGATCGCCGTCATTCTCACTGGGCTGGTCATCGCAACCCTTTCGAGTCCAAACGAAATGTACCTTTCCTAGGAATTCCTGCTGGGAAGACGTCCACTGTGGACCCAAAAGTGGGTAGAGGATGGTAGAGGGAACACGCAAGTCGTAACCAGATAATGCCATGCCATGATACTCGCATCGAGGTCCACTTCCCAACGGGGGTCTGGCTGTGTCGAGATCGGCTGAGGATCTGCGACCGATCGATGGCAACCTCCAGGGTGCAACTGACTCGATTTGCTGCGGTTTCGACAGCCGGGATAGATGCTGCCGAGTCAGATTTTCAGGTTGTTCGGAAAGTGATGACACAGTGACAGACAAATGAACAGGTCGGCTTGGGATTCCATTGCGTACACTTTGTGAATATATGAGCAACTGCCAAAACCTCCGATGAAGGCAGCATCACTACAGTGAAGACTAAGTGAGTCAAGTGAAGGAAGCCTTCAGGAACGATAAGGTTCACAAAAAGCAATAAGGTTTTAGTACATGTTGTTAGGTGTGTCCAAACCCTCAGGAACGATAAGGTTCACAGAAAAAAAACGATAACATTGGGAAGAGTGCGCATTACAACACATAATAGGTTTTGCACGTTGCTCATACAGAATCATGCATATAGATTCCGCATTATAGTAATGACTGAAAAATAGAAGCACATAAACATTATATATATATATATATATTCGCAGCAATGTTTGGACTTGGTTGAGCACTGGAAACACAGATTGAAACTGTGGAATGCCTCCTTGAGCAATTTGAACGCAACTGTGAACAGCACCGGATTTTCGCCCAGGAGTCACCATAGACCTACTGTAAACGATCCGCAGAAGTCACCGGGTTCCCTCATTGGACGGGGACTGCGGGACTGTGTTGATGGAAAGGGTGCCCTCCTTCCACTTGCGGTTAGCTAGGACGATTGTTTTTGGGGACCCTACTCACAATCTACAAGAACAAATATATCACCGTCGTTGTCGTCGTCGTCGTCGTTGTCATCATCATCATCATCATCAGCATAACAATCACTGTCGTTGTCATGATCATGATCATCATGACATACCCGACAGCTCTTATTCTTGGATGCCAATGCCAGGCCAATAGTTTTTATCGCTGTCCCTCGAACAACGAGGCTCGCAGATGGACGTGTTGAATCCGTGGTGGTCTCCTGTTTTTTCAGCAGCGAACGACTTCCGGGGTGGGGGGGAATCTCAAAAGGTGCAGGGGCCGTTTGCCTCAAGGCATGCTCAAATGTGAAGACCAAGGGCCAAGGATAACCTTGCTACTTGGATGTGCTTTTTTTTTGGCAGTGTTCTTTGCTATTGTTTTTTGAAATATATATATATATAAGATTTCTTTCTTTCTTTTTTTTCAACCAGAACCAAACTGGCCTTGGAGGGTGGAGATGTCGGATCCATGTTTCCCAGTCAAAGGAAAGCCAACAAGCTATAGAAAGTGTTCCACGCTCACTAGCTTTCTTGGGTAGGTGAGGCAACATCTAAAATCATGTATACTTTCATATACTATTAGCGAACTATTAATACATTCTCTCTTGTGCATCATCCGGTGAACCTTCAGGTGACCTTCGCCTTCCCGGTGAATGAGGCCCTTTCGATGAAGCGAATGGACCGTTCGTCGCGGCACGGTGGATCCGTGCGGTTCTTCGGGTCCGACGAATGCGTTTCAAAGGGTCTCGGACCAACTCGACATCACAGGGGGGAGATCCGGAAAACAATGGGTTTTGGATGGTTTTGGTCTATATAATATTCTATATCTCTTCTTCCAGGAGGTCTTTAGGAGGTCTCTCTATCTAAATACACCCCCCCACATGTGCAAAGTAACATCTTCTTCACCTCCCAGAGCTTCACGGTGATACATGGTATGAGGTTGGCCCAGCAAGCGTCCCCAGCGGAAAATAATGGCCTATGGCACTATAGCCCATCCTCTGATCAAGGTCGGGTGCCAGGAGGGTCTACAGACCTGAAAAAATATACTTGGAGGTTTAGGGCCTATAGGGCATGGAAGGTGAACATCCCTGGGGCACTTCATGGCTGTTCATCTCTTCGCCTCGGCTTGGGCCAAACCGGCCCGAATGAACCAGGTCTTGTCGGCCAGACGGCCAGGCAGGGGAGCTGAGATAGAGAAGTCTGAGAAGTCCCAAACGAGACGACGATGCACGTCGATGCACACATGTTTGGTGACCATGTTGAGACAAACAGATGTTTCTTTTAATCACCTCATTTCATTCTCATGCAAGTATATAGTACTTTTCTCTCTTTTGCTCAGGATATTTCGGGATCGATCCAAAGAGCAGAGAAACCCTTAACATAATCATCTGCGTAATTCATCATCCTGACTCTGATGGACACTGATGGATTTCTCCGTATGATCATTGGAGGGAGAGCAGGTGCCTCGTTTTTGAGACTCCATGCCGGTGAACAACTTGATCACCAGCAGCAGCAGCAGCAGCAGCAGCAGCAGCAGCAGCAGCAGCAGGGATACACATGCGCTGCAAAATATCCTGCACCTAGTCCTGCACCTGAGTTGCTAGGCTAGGGCCTAGCTTTAACCAGAAACTTCGGCACTACGTGCACCCGAAAAAAGAGAGTCAACGCACATTGCATAGTCGGACAAGGTAAAGTCAACAATCTCTCAATTACTGTATGTGTTCACTTCCATTGCTTCCGGGAAGGATTTTTCCGTTTCTGCAGATCAGAAGAACTTATCATTTGTGCACATATAATGATCAGAATTGATCCCCTCAAGAAAGATACGTCTCAGCCGCGATCCTGGACATCCTTTTTTTGTTTTTGCTGATTTCGTTGTTGATCTTCCTTCTGGCTTTTTGTCTGCTGACAGATCATGGACGATTTTGTTTTTTACTGTTTCTTTTTCTTTTGTTGCACTGCACATCCACACTTGGGAACTTGATGTGGCCCGCCTTTTTTCCTTCGTTGCTCCGGCTCCCCGGGTCGCCACAGGTCTCCGGTGCATAACACCGCCCTTCGCGACCGCGGATCCACCGGTCCCCAGCGTTTCGCGGTCCCTTCGCCAGGCTCCCGCGGCACGTCGCCGGTGTCGCGGCACGTGGAGGGCAGGAGTGGGTTCGGGGGCCGAAGTGGCGGCGGCCATTCAGGGAGCTGTGAAGGGGAGTTGCCGAATCGTTCTTTCCGACTGGGAGACCCTGGTTGACGTTCAGAACATGAACTGGCGAGCAGGGAGGTCACCCTACCAGGGTGAAACGGGCTCTGGGTTTTGACCCAGAGCCATATTTGGGTGTGAATTAGAATAGGGAGACCCCGGCCCTGGTTAGGTTTTGGATGGCAGACTGGGATGTCTACTGATTTTGATACACACACACACACACACATTTCTGGCACTTCATTCTCCAGATCTCCGGTCGTTTCAATGACACCCTTGACTGACTAAATAAAACCCACTAGTGTGGGTGGTTCTCTGGTTCCCCCTAATTCAATACATCCCCAAGTGTTTCGTCCTGAGTGGCCAGAAGGTATCATGTTTTGACGCTTCATTCTTAGACGCTGCACCTTGTTCTGCTGCGCTTCTTCTGCTGGTAGCTGGTAGCTGGAACAGGAAGTCGGCACAGCCGATAAATCAACATATGTGTCATGCCACAGCAAAGCACCAGAGCACGGCATATGAGCACCAGAGCACCAGAGTGAACTCCCACTCTGGTTGGAGGAGCTGAATGGAGCAAATGGACTTCTAGGAGGATGGTTTTCATGTCTCTTTTCACAAAGGCTTCCAGCTACCAGCAACTTTCTTCATTTTCCAAGGACATTTTTACACACCCACCCGAAACTCAGCAGCCGCATGTGGTGTTTGACCAATGATTCATTACCAACATTTAGCGCGGTGAGCGAGCACCCCTCTCGCCATGGTATGTATGCCAGACTCGTGATGAGCTTAGCTGGATGTGGCAGAAGCAGTGCTCGCAGTGTTTTTTTTTTTCCACGGCTTTCCAGGGCCACTTAGACTTTTAAAGGGTGCGCAAAACTCGTGTTTTCTGCACCGGAAAGTGAAGGTTCTTTTTTCTTCGGATACCGATTGGATACCACGTTCCGTGGTCCGAAACATGTCAAACATGTCCGCTCTCATTGGGACTTTGGGACATTGGGACACCTTCTTTTTTTGGCCTCCCAGGAATGAACTGATCTGGACCAGGATGCACCGCACGGTGGGAGTCACCAGGTTGGACGCCGACGAAATCGTCCGGATCAGTTTCTGGGGAAGCGTTCCCGACGTGTCGTCAAAAGCACGGGTTCGGTTGAGGTGTGAATCTGGTCATTTGACCCGGGTCATTTGACCCGGGGTCAACCAGGGTTAACGGGGTTTTGACCCACAGCTATATATATATATATACATACTATATGATCGTGTATAATAAGAGAGACCTCCATTGTGGTTGGGGGTCTCCCTATTGAAAAACACAACCCCACTGTATACATTCACGGCCACGATTGTGTTTGTGGTTTGTGTTTGAGAAGCGTCATGGGAACTGCTGAAAGCCATTGAGGCGCTCCTCATTGTGCCAGCGCTGGCCGGGAAGTTGTTTCGCGCGTCCAAGAAGCTGGGAAGTGATTTGAGCATGTGGGCACCCGAGGTTATAAAGCTAGCACAGGAATTTGTAGCAACTGTAAGCACTGCATTGGCGTATTTGTTCATGTCAGGGCTCATGGGCATATTCTTTGCTGATCTTTGCTTGTGACTTGCCCATCATTATGTAAACAGCACACTCTTTGCAATACCGCGTTTCTTGCCAAAACCTGCCCCCCAAATACCCAGGTTCTGAATGTACTTGGCACACCCCAAAGGTGCAACATGATTTTGAGGTACCAACATCAATTCGGCCTCCAAACCATCCCAAGAAGTCACACCTTAGCAGTGCACATATAGGTATACGGTATAGTTGTATGTGTCAGGACCTTCCACTTTTCCAAAACCTAAGTGACCTCATTCTGAGATCTCAAAAGGTCACTAGGAAGGTCCTGTCGTTTGGTCCAAACTTTGGGGGCGCAACGTCTTCGTCGAAGCACTTGACATTCCCATCTCAGGAATGTCTACGAGCTGCCTGGCATGACAGCAAGCCTTGAAAGGTTCAGAGTAGATGGCACAATCCCCGAAAGGTGGACCCCATTGTTTCTACTAGCTTCTTGTTACTACTAGTAAGGCACTTGTTACTAGTAGCGATGCCCTTGTTTCTACTAGCTTCTTGTTACTATATATACACACATGTTTGAGTTTGTGCCATCTACTCTGAAACCACTCTATTGCAGATCCTGAGCCTCTGTCCATTTTTTTTGGGGGCACTAAACACCTTTCGATGGCATGTTTCCGTCTTCCTTCTGAGCAGAGAGGAGGAGGCATTTTTTGGTTCGAAGGTACTAGTATGCCACAAGAGGCCATCCCGCACCACACGAGGGGGGCCATGCTCGTCTCGGGTGTTTGAACAACCAAACACATTGGCTTTGGCTTGTTCAACCCATTCAACATCGGCAAGCGCCCAGCGGTAGACGGGTGGCGTGTTTTGTAGATGGGAGGAAGCTCTCAGCAGTCTGTTGGAGGCCAGGAATGAGCTTGTCCAGACGTCAAGAAGCTATGCCATTTGCCAGAAGCTAGCTTGAATGAACACTTAGAGTGTGTGTACCTTAGGCTTCAAAACCGAAGAACACGTAGGGCATGTATAGAAACACAATGTTTCAAGGGAAAACACGATGTTGATCCCTATTTCGTTTTGGAGCTCGAATGCCGGCTAAGATGCAACGGCTAAGCCGATGCGGCCCTCGTGGCCGTTCTTGGGGGGGCCGGTGTCCAAGCGCCCCGAACGTAGCGTCCTTGCTCCTAGTAGCCCGGTGTCCAAGGCTGGATAACACCAAGATTGCAGGTGAGGTGGCCAATGCGAGGACGGCCAGTCACACTATGTGTAACTGCGGACCAAGTTTCATGAGCGAAACCCTTCGTTTTGCAGGGTGAGTGACATGACCACAGGCAATCCAGGATGAACTTATGATTCCTGTTTTTCCCTTGCACAGTTCAGTGGGACTCAATGCATGAGCTTGAGCATCTCAGTATCGTGCGATTATGCATTCCTTTATGTGTGCATTGCCCATGACTCATGAGAGTCTTTGGCAGTCACTTGTATCAGAAGCAGCGGCTTTTTCCATTGAGAGTGGTGATGAGGTCACAATCAGGAGCCCATGTTTCTTTCGTACTTGGCGAAACGGTGAGGAGCCCATGGGTGGTCATGTACTATGCGGACTGGTGCCCTCACTGCCACCACTATGCACCCACCTTCGAAAGGACGGGATGCAGCGACACGCGCTCGTTCGTTCGAAGCGGCGACCGGAGACCCGGAGACCCGACATGGAAACCACTTTGGAGAGGAAAGTCGACCGATCCCCAAGTGTTTTGAGATTTCTAGGGAAATGTAAAAGGGCAAAAAAGTGAAAAGCTTCTTGAGCTTGTAATTGAGGCTTCTTTGTGTCCTGCAAGTATCTGGAAGGAATCACATGAGCACACTACATTGCCCAGGTGACTTGAACCGGGTCAGACGATGACGCGACGATCTATTGTTGATAGCCAATGCACAAGTCTTCCTAGAAGAAAAGCAATCCCATTTTCCGTAGCGCATACAATGTAGTTACCCACCTTACTGTATCGGAATTTCGGCATTCCATGTGTGGTGTTTCCTGATCTTGGACGCCGATAAACACTAGCGCCATGACATGACAGGTTTCCTTGCGCCCAGATCTTTGAGATGTGGACGTTGGTGTTTGCGCATCTTTGCGTCAGCTGCGCAGAGAAGGGTCTGATCTCGGCAGTCCATCAACGGCGGTTGATGTGTTTCCTACTTGCAGGTTGATGCAGCGAAATAGGGCACAGCCTAGGGTGAGATATGAGGAGTGATATGGAGAGATACACTCCCTGAAATCATCATGGAAGTGTGGAGTGAAACCACCTGTTTGGTATTCGGAAGACTCATGGTCATCCGAGATCGGGGTCATGCCATCCACGTTGGCCCATGAATATTTCAGGGAGTGTAATCCATCTATCTAAGGGTGCAGGGGGGCTCTTACACCAGGATGATCAGTGTCATACACTTAAAGCATCTTAAAGCAATGTAAATGCAATCCTGTATTGCAGATCCTGAGCCCCTTACTGCGGGGCTCTTACTCCTGTATTGCAGATCTACATCGTTCTCAGGGGGGGCTCTTCCTGGCGGTCAATGGCTCTTCCACTGATCCGATCTTCCCAGGGGGTCCGACCGCCAGGATTGCCCAGAAGACCTCGCCTTTGCATCAAGGGCCGGTCTGGTCGCTCAGACTGTCTCGCCGTGCACCATCGCCAGACGCCAGACCGAGGGTGTACATATTGGCTGTGGGTCAACACTGGGGTCACTTGATTGACCACCCCAGTTCTGAACAGACTAGACCCAAAAGGTCAACCTACATGGTGTTGGGCTACAGCTTTCGACCCACTGACATGTGTACAGTGTATACATACATACTCCAACTGATGACAGGGTCAGCACACCAGCGTGCCACGCGACGATGAAGCAATGCAGCCTACAAGATCAATGGCCCACTCTGTCGACCCTCCTGCAGCACAGTTCTCTAGTACCGCTAGGTGGATGCAACATGCATATTGACATAGTCACATAGTCCGTTCACCATAGAAATGGGTTCCACAGATTTCCACAGTAAGGTATAAGATGGTGCAAGTCCTCTGTCATCTTTGGGCACCCTTGTCCTGGAGAAAAGTCTCGAACATCAGCGCCATAGTATATTTGAGAACCCATTTCTCCAACACCCATTCGGTATCCTACAGAGTGCTCATGGAAGAACATTTGAGCCTCCCCAGTTTCCCCAACCGCGATATTTGAAGGGCTCATTCTTGTCTCACTCCTGGTGCAGCAGAACTCTCCACCATCAGCAGTGAATCTACTTTTGCGATCTTTTGCAAGTGTTGCCGACCATGCAGAAACTCTGCAGAGGAACTCTGCGCATGGTTTGGTTGTTCTTCAGGTCTTCCTGGAAAGCGGTTTTGCTTAGCACCATTTGTGTTGTTTTCCCCATGG